ACCAAAGGGAGCAAAATCCAATCTCCTCAAATAACTGGGCAAAAAGGGAGGGAGAGTATCAGGATTCTAGGACACACACACAGGCTAAGACACTGCAGCAAGGCAGGGGAAGCTCCGAGGGAGAGAAGACCCAGGCGCCCAAGGCCTCATGACTAACTCCAGGCCCTAGCAGACCGAAGGTGGCCTGAGGCTGAGGTGAGACCTAGCTCAGGCAAGGAGTGGGACCAAGCCAGCTGGCCCATGAACCTGAGAAGACAGAAGCTGGCTGGAGAGGTCAGGGGCCAACTCTGGTTTTGCAGCCCTAATCAACGTTAAAACTGTCAACATAGGAGGCCAGCCTGGTGGCATAGCGTTTAAGTTCACGTGCTCAGCTTCAGCGGCCTCGGTTCGCAAGTTTGGATCCTGGGTATGGACCCATGCCACTTGTCAGCCATGCTGTGACAGTGACCCACATACAAAATAGAGGAAGATTGGCACAGATGTTAGCTCAGGGCGAATCTTCCTCACCAAAAAAAAGTAATAATAATAATAATAATGGTAATGAGGTCACTGAAGGATATTTTTTCCTAGTAGAGAGGCTAACAGTTACTCAAACTCTATCCAATATCTAAATTAAAGACACAAAGTTTTCCTTTAAAGACATATTTGAGACTAAATAACTGGAATCATCCTTGAAAAATTCACAGACAAAATATTCTACCCATGGCCCCTATTGGTTTCTGAATACGGTCTTTTTCTCACCCTGCTCTCAGTCATGAGCGCCCTCCTCGAACTCTCTGTGCCCAGGTAGGAGATGCCTCAACGATCCACCTTAATGCAACCTCTGAAAAAACAAGGTCTGAGAACCAGGGTTGCTTTTCCAAGAATATCATTTCTATAGAAACATCTACATAGTTCTCCTCTTTGGTGAAATCTTTTATATTCAAATCACAACAAAGCAATGTATGAAATGGAAAGTTGAGCGGGAGTCTGGCTAATTTAGGTAACAAGACCCCAATTTCTCTTTAATTACCTGGACAGTTTGCAAACACCGGGGATGGGTGGGAGGTGATCTAAATTCTCTGTGTAGCAGGATAAAATGTTTTAAATTCACCTATGCATCATTCTTCTGCAGTTTCTTTCACTGGTAACCCGCTCCACCGTTCACACAGCAACAAGGACTTTCTGTTCTATATGCTGCCCTCAGGGTAGAGTTGTTACAGCAAAAAGGCAGAGAAAAAGAAAGAGTGGCTGCACAGCCTTGAATTTCAAAATACACTTCTGAGGCCCTTGGCAAAGACAGTTTCTTTTAAAAGGAAAGGCTTTCTTTGCAAGAACTTGCATCTTTTGAGCAGCACAAGAAACAATGTTTTATGATCAATAATAGATTTGAGAAGGAAGAGCTGGCTACCCCCATCCCATTCTAGAGCACTGGGAAAGAATGGACCAGGAAGAGATTGAGGAATAGGGCAGAGGGAGCAAAGAGAGCTGTGTGGAGAGGTTGGAAGGGACCACGTAACCAGTAGCAGAGTTAGTGTCAGAAGATTCTCAGACTCTGCCTAAGTCAGGAGGTCAGTTGGCAGCACCAGGGAGCTCTCAAGAGCTGACTCAGTGTCTAGAGAGCCTCTGGTTGCCAGGGGAGGGTGTACCATACTCTTGCCTCTACCATGTACCAGCTGTCCTTCTCAGGTCATCAATAAACAACACTGACCCACAGCAGCCAGTAATGAGCTTGTGGCTTCTCCGGCAAGAGTGACAACATTTGACCCCACCCCAAACTTGCTCAATCTATCTGAATTACTCCACGAGTCAGCTGATCCTTGTCAATGGCTCAGGGAAATCAGGAGCCCCATAAGCTCAAGGATAGGGGCCTGATTGCCCAGAAAGTTGCTGATAAGGAGGACAGGAAAGGCTGTTCTGGGTTGGATGAACAGACTTGTCTGAGATCCCCTCTTATGCTCCTCCAATGGTGAAAGATCTTACCTTCTTCTTTCAATATAGTTGGCTTATAGCAATGGCCTATCTGGGTCAGGTCCACCGTACCAGTTATAAACCTGAACTATATCAACAATCCCTCAACAATATCAGAATAATTTCCTTCAGCTACCGCAAATGCTCTCAGGATTTTACCTGAAAGACTAAAAGTCCTTCTGTTCCAACATAAGTAGCAACATCGGCACTGAACTTTCCATTTGAATTCCTTCTGGAACACAGTACACCACAGCCTTGAAAAATCCTTGTGAACTCCCAACACTTTGCCTGCCAGTGAGACAATAACTTAACCTCACACTCCTCGTTTCCACCACTGTAAGATAAAGAGGGTGGGCCAGATGATCTTTACAAGCACTGATTTTATGATTTCCAGAGGCCTTGGCTGGACTCCAACAGAAATCTTTCACTTTGATTTATTCCTCTCTCCAAGACTAAAAGCTGTATAGCTAATTGGCAATCACCAAAAAAAAGAAAAAAGAAAAAAGAAAAAACTGAGAAATGCAGAGGAAAAGAAAAATACATTCATTCAAACTACCTATTCCTCTATCTGTCACTATTAAAGACACAGCCAATAGCTGGAGTTCTGCTGACACTGTGTCCCCCTCTTGCCTTGGAGACCCTGCCATCCCATACCTAATTGATGGGCCCTGTGAGAAACAGAGAAAACAGGAATTTAAACTAGAGGGGAACATTCTTTTCCAAGTTGTCACTGCAGGGTTAACAGATGAGTTCTCTTCTCGAATGTAGGCTATGCCCCTACTGTGGGATGAGTTCTTACCTTGGAATTTTATTGGTTTGGGGCCCATCTATGATTCCCTAGTGACTGGTAAATGATGTGACGTCCCTGGGGTTTCTAAAACCAAAGGTCATAAACAGGGTATCATAGGCCAGATTAGGCCCGTGGACATGCTTTATATGCTAAATGGCCTACCTAGTGCCTTAATATTTTTTAATTAATTGTCAACCTTTGTGAAGGACAGTAGGACCTGGCAACTCCACTGGGGCTCTGTAGCAGCTGCCCCCTTTCAGGACATGTGGTCTCCATTCTCCTCAGTCCCCACCCTGCTCACTTCACCAGCCATATTCTCTGCCTGCTCCTGCAGGCATTTGAGTTTGTAAACCCGGTTGTGAAATCATACGTATAAAACAAAGCCTGTGTCCTCCAGAGTCCTAGAGAGTTCTAGACACTCACAAAATAATATTGATCAGATTCCTGGGAAGTTCTTCAGCTTCTACATGGTTGAGAAAAACCTTCATTTAGTCAGGACTTGAAGCTCTTTGCACAAGAACATTTACCAGTTTATGCTGAGATTCCTCAGAATATTTGTTTGGTAAAAACAAGCGCAATGGTGAGCAAAGCAAGGCTTCCAAAGTAAGACTTTCCTGGGAAGATTTTCCAGCATCTCTCAATCTCCTGTGATTTTTCTCACCTCCGCGCCCTCGTAACTCCACCCTCCAACACGCTTTACACAGCCACAGATTACAGCCCGGACTACATCGTATTCTAATGATTTGCTTAAAAATCATTCAGCTTTGCTAATCTGGGGCCTTCCACAAAGGAAGAAAACGCTGCATCCTAAATATTTAACGTAGTGCTTATCACAGAGTAAGTGCTCAGGAATTGGGTCCTCAAACTGGCCAGGGGCTTCTTAGGCAGTTGGCACACCCAACACCAAACCCTGAGGGGTGTCCAAGGACAGAGCCCTGATCCACACGGTGGCATGTCCATGTGTGTGCGTGTGCATGTGTGCACAGTCACAACTGCCTGTGATCCTTGTCTCTGAGGTGGTAAATTGTTAAGAATGAAAATGAGCACAGTCAGGCTATATGCTGATGCTTCCAGAGTAGCTCCCCTTCCAGGTGGCACCTTCCAAAGTTAGAATGTCAGTGGCAGCCCCAATTCAACCCCAACCTTCCCAAGTACAACTCAATCCTATTGCTCTCAGGCTTACCAACCTTTGCGAGCAACGTATCGCCTATAAAATAAGGTTCAAATCACTTGGCAGACATTCAAGGGCCTTTACTATCTCACTCCTACTTACCTCTCTGATCTCTCCTCTTCTCTACTCTCCGCCCTTAGGAGTCCTCAATATGCTAACACCCAAAAGGGCTCTGTTAGGTTCCCCAGAAGAACTATGTTTCCACACTGCCATGTCTTTACCCCTGCTGTTTCTTCTTCCAGGAATGCCCTCGCCCCCCTCACCATTTAGTCCCAGCAAAATGTGTAGCTAAGGCCAGCCCCTCTGGCACCATGGCTGGACCATGGCAACAATGCTGGAATAGGTGGGCATTTGAGTGCAAAAAACTGTATGCTGGGAACTCAAGCATGGGCCTCCAATGTAGCTTAAGCAGTGAAATGAAGGAGTAAACAAGGCCATCATGACAGCAGTGGCCAGGGAGGCAGTAACAGGAACAATGACAGCCAAATGACAGGCCTGCTCAGACCTGACCAGACTCTCCAATTTTCTCTGCCTGCTGTTTGAAATCAATACTGATCACTTTGGACATGAGTAACCCCTCAAAGTTCCAGGAAAATCAGTAAGTGGGGTGGGAAGAGATTACATAAGGATGTACTGCTTCCTACTACTATGGGTAAGTAAAAGCCTAAATATGCAAAATCAACTACACATAACCAGATTTGTAGCCCGACCTGATGAAGCAGGTAGCACCTCTGACGTTAATGTTTTCTCAGTGTGGAACATACCTCCTCCTTGCCTCTTCCTGGGAGGACTGAGTTGGGAATCAGCAAATACTCAAGCCAGACTGCAGATGCCCTATCGCGGTGCAGACTGGGAAATTCCATTAAATAGTGAAGCTTGTATTTTAGAGCACTTGTTGTATGCTAAGCAGTTTGCTAAGAACATTACAAACATTGTCTCATTTAAAACTCACTAACCGGCATAAATTACACCTGTTCTTAAAGAGGGTGGAGAGATGCTTGTGTGTCTGTAACCTGAGGAACCCTGTTTTGGTTGGGCAAAGCTGCAAGCAGTGGTGACACTTGATACAGCTCAATGCCAATGACTGTTGTGCTCACTTCGGCAGCACATACACTAAAATTGGAACGATACAGAGAAGATTCACATGGCCTCTGGGCAAGGATGACACACAAATGACCATTCTCTCTTTTTTTGGCCTGTCCAAGCCTTTTCCAGAGAGAGAGAAGAAAAGGTCTTAATCTCACAGTCATTTTGGTGCTGCCCATTAGATAGCTGAAATCAAAGGCTCCAGGGGAGACCACTGGGTCTGGGCTGGGTGCAGTACGCTAGTTAAAGGCATGTGTCCAAAGGAGAACATGGAGATCACAAGACCCTCCCAAGAGTAAAGAGTGCCCATTCAGGATGTTCCTCCTGTGATATGGGGCCTGTTTACCCTTAAACACATCACCGTAAATCTCTGTCTCTGCTCAGATTAGCCCGGAAACTTTGCAATCTATAAAATGAAGGAAGAGGAGCAGAAAGGAAGGGAGTTTCTGTTATTGCATGTACCATGTGCCAGGCGCAGTGGGAGGCATCGCCATGTGGGTTATCTTGTTTGATCATAACTCTAACAGGTATAGAGGGTTATGCCCACTTTATGGATGAGTAAACTGTAATTCTAAGAGAGCCTCTGCCCTCCCTCTGCTTTAGGACTTTCAGGAGCTTGGGTCAAGGAGTGGTGGTAGCTCTGTCTGTTTTTCTCTCTCTCCTCTCGAGACTAGCTGGCCAAGAAGAGAGGGAATTAGGGAAAGGGTAGTCGTATGTGGTCCTGTTGTGGTCCGGCTTCAGGATGAGATGATTCCTTCTCACATAAATCATCATGAACTACAAGAATGTGATACAACAAAAGTTATCATGCACTATTTTAGGCCCTTGAATACGTCCATAAACAGAACTGACATAAATCCCTGACCTGGTGGAGCTTTCATTCTAGCAAGCTCTGTATCTTGGGACATCTCTATGGATTCATAGACACTCCCACTTCTGAGGCCATCACTTCAGGTGGGCAATACATCTCCTCCTGCTACCTGCCTCCAGGCCACATTGGCATCTGAAGGGATGTTTCCAGTCTCTTGGACTGTGGATGCTCAGGAGGAAGAGCTTGGGAAGGGCCATTTTCAAACTGAGCCCCAGCCGGCTCCCTCCTGTGGGTCCACTTACCCCAGATGCCCACAGCCTGCTTTTGGCAGTCTTGTGCTTTGTGCTTCCTCCAAGAAAGTAGCTCCAGCCATTTCTCTTCACTTCTTGTCTTTACCAGGTGGGTTTTACATGCCAGGCCTTATGTGGTACAAACTCCAAGGGATACACACCAAGCTCTTGGAAAGGGCCCCCTGAAGCCTTTACCTTTGGCTTGAGGTGAAGGGAAAGCACTGTCCTCCTAATCCTCATGGGAGCAGAGAGAAGAGAATGCCACAGCACTCCACTTTCTCCAAAGAAATTCTTCTCTCTGGGCCTTTTCAACTTCCACTTGTTCCTAGACTATGTATGTTTGCTGAGCGGTACTGACCCCATGTAGCTGTTGAACACTGACAACGTGCCTAGTGCAAGCTGAAATGCACTTGCTATAAATGTAAAATACACACCAGATTAGAAGGCTTAGTTCGCCAAGTGACAAAGACATCAGTAAAATAGCTCCTTAATAATTTTTATATTGACTACATGTTGAAATGATCATATTTTGGATATATTGTATCAAATAAAGTAGATCATTAAAATTAATTTTTTAACCTATTTAATATGGCTACTATAAAAGTTAAAACTACAGATATGGCTCACGTTATATTTTATTAGGTAGCATTCTTATGGGTGAACAATCTGGCGTCACTGGAAGAAACAGTTTCATAGTCAGCCTGTCTTGTATGCATGGCCTTGCACCTCAATGAGAATGTGCAGCATATGACATCTATTCTATTGTTCTTTAGAGGTTCAGTCCTAAAAGAATGTGGAGTTGCAACATCATTTTACATATGCATTTCTCTGGAAAGAAATGCAACAGTTTTCATCAGGTTCTTTAGGGGTCTGTCATGCTGTCTCTCAAAAAAAGAAGTTAAGAATTTCTATTTAGTATATTCCTAATGTATTCCAGGAACTAATGCACCAGTGAGCGTTAAAACCAAGGAAATAAGAGAAACACAGCAGGTCTTTGGTCTGCGCGCCCAGTAATATTCTCAAAAGCTTTGAGAAATGCAACTCAGCTGTAGCCTGCCATCCATATATGACATTCTAGGACTTGAACTCTATTTTTCCTTTTAATCAGTGTATTTCAGCATTTTGTTGTCTTCAGATACTGTTTCATTTCTTTTTTTATTATTCTATGTTGTGTTTTTTTCCACTAAAATGCCAATATAACTACATAACCTCAAAAGAGAGACAGAGACAAAGATGTGGAAAAAAGGAAAAGAAAAAAATAGTAGCGTTATTCACGGCCTTTGGAATTGGAAAATCTGGGTTCCTTTTCGAGATCTTCCTCTTGGTTTCTGTGTAACCTTGAGTAAGACATTTGACTTCTCTGAGCCTTTTTTCTCATCTGTGAAATGTGGCTAATCACGCTACATCAAAGAATGTTTTTCAGAATTAGGAGAAATAATTCATTGGAAGAACTTTAAGGATATTTCTTTCCTCACTTTGTTCCAATTAACTAAACACCAACACTGGTGATATTCCGTATATTTTCTTCCAAATAATTTTTCAATAAATAAAAATTCAATAGTAATGAACAGAGTATAAATATGACCTTTTAGCGTGCTTTTTAAATTTCTAATTTGAAATAATTTTAGACTTAGAAAAAAAGGGCAAAAATAGTAGAGTTCCTGCATACCATGCATCTAGCTTCCCATCTTGTCAACATCTTACATAACCAAAGTACAATTATAAAAAAGTAGAAATTAACATTTATATAATACTTCTAACTAAACTACAGATCTCATTTGGATTTGACTAGGCTTTTAATTTATGTCCTTTTTGTTTCAGGATTCGATGCAGGATCCCACGTTGCAATTCGTTGTCGTGTAGTTTTCTTCCATCAGTAATAGTTCTTCAGTCTGTCCTTATCTTTCATGGCCTTGTCACTTTTGAAGAAAATCAGTCAATTGTTTGCTAGAGTTGAATTTTGGAATTCAAAAATCCTTCAATTTGGGTATGTCTGGTGCTTTCTCACGATTAGATTGAAGTTAGGCATTTTGGGCAAGAATGTTACAGAAGTAATGAGTCCTTCTCATTGCATCATATCAAGGAGTAGAGGATGTCAATATATCTTATTACCAGTAACATCAACCTTGATAAAGTTACTACTTTTTACTTTGCAATTGATAAATGTCTTGGGGCAGATACTTTGAGATTATGCAAATATTTCATTTTTCCTTAAGCTTCTTTCATTAATTTGAGCACCCATTGGTGGATTTTGCCTTCCCTGCAACAATTATTACTAAGATGTTTTAATAATGATTTTCTATTCCCTTCATTCTTTCTACATGTAGTCATCGGAATTATTCTGTAAAGCAAAACTCCCCCTTCTCTCATATTTATTCATTCAACTATTATTAGATCACTATGGACTCATGGATCTTCAGTTTATTATCTGTTCCTGTTAATTATTTTGTTGCCTGAATTATTCCAGCTTTGGCCATTGGGAGTTTGTTTAATTTGACTCTGTGCCCTTTTGACATGTCCTCATCCTTTTTTGCACGCTTTCTTACTTTGGGGCACTGCCACGTACTCTAGGCTCATGTTGTGTCTCTGCCCCTCTCCCAGGGGTCACAGTGTTTTATTTTGGTTTGTTTTCTGTTCCCTTCCCCCAGCTGCAATGGGTTTTCACCAGCACCCAGGGCAATGATTTCTGTCCCTCTCCCTCCAGATTAAGGTTTTTATTCCAGAGAGGAAAGAGAGAGGGAGCAGGGTCTAGAAGTTTCATGCCTCTCCTGTAGTAACTCCTTCTCGTCTCCTCTAGGCCTGCACCAGACGGAGGTTTTCTCAGGAACACTCCCGGTCTTCTCCGATAGGTTTAGAGAAAAGCCTGCAAGAGGATGCAAAAGCTCCCTACGTCTGCAGCCCCCAGAGCTTCATACTATCCCACCATACTTGGCCACCACCAACTGGTCAACTATTCCAGCTGAATTCTTCTTGCTGGTGTCTGCTGGCATCTGCCTCAGAAGCACCTTGTAGATGTCTGTCTCTCCCCAGATTTTAGGTTCGTTGGTTGCCCTGTGTCTTTAGCACTCTGATGAGTTCAAGAAAAGACAGGGTCTTGTATTCTGTGTGCCTGTATTCTTGTTGTAAGGGTAGGGGTGATGCTCTTCCCGACACTGATGCAGTAGAACCTCAGAGACCCAGCATGACTAGGAGCTTGCACCAGCTCTTCTCGGCAAGGTTCCTTCCTCCCTGGGTCAGAGTCCCATCCTCATTAGCTCAACCATCCTGCTTAGTAATCATCACACAAACATGCTCAACTCCCCAAGTGCTATCGGCTGAACTTTTATAATTACAAATTTGGCTAACCTTTGGACCTCTCTGTAATTCTTCAATAGCTGCTTCTTGCTGTGCTGGTTGAAGTCCAGGGAATCAGCATAACATTACCAGCTCTCAGAGAAGGTGCTGGTGCAGATACGGGTTGGGAAAAAACCGCTGATGCATCTTAGCCATTCCAGGATAGAGCAAGGGGCTGAGATGGGGAAGTCAATCTAAAAATACTAGCATTCAATAAATATTAGGTGCCTGCTATGTGGCAGATGCATACTAGGCAAGGGGATCATGTGGACTGGAATGACATCAGTCTTGCCTCCACTAGTCCAACACGTAAACAAATAATTTCAATAAATTATAATAAATGCTGTACCAGAGATATGTGTACAAATGTTACAGGAAAATAAATAGGAAGCAATTATTTTTCCTGGGGAATTCTCAGAAAGCCAGAGAGAAGGGAAAGCAGACCCTGAGATGAGGATATGAGGATAAGTAATTTATTTTGGAGGTGATCCTAAGAAACACAAGTGCAGAAGTGGGAAGAGAGACAGGGAAAGGAAAGCAATTAGGGGAATGTTATCAAAATCAATCCTGTGGGAGAACCTGGGAGCTTGTGTGCAACACATACCTCGGAGTTATGCAGCTCGGAAAGCAACTCTGCTGTTTATTGCCGAGGGCTGCTGAGTCCGGGGAGAG